CCGGCCCTCACCGCTGCCGCAGGGCGCCGGGGCCGCCTGGGGGGGAGCCTGTGCTGAAATCCTGGTGCTCTCTGTAACGCTTGTGTTCCCGAGCTGGGAGAGAAAGTCCTAGCCGCCAGGAGGGGTGAGCAAGCGCTATTTTGTGAGGGAAAACAGATTTGTCTAAAAATCTCTTAAATAGCAAAAACAAACGAGTGTTTCTGTGTTTCAGCTCCTGGTCTGCCATATCTGCTACTCGCTCCTTCCCCCTCCCCCCGGCTGTGTGAAACACTTCCATATAGAAAGTGAATGCCTGCTTCAAGAGCTGTATGTGTTGGAAAAGGGTGAATTTTGATGGAAACTGATTGCAACCTTTAGTTATAGAATCCCGCAAGCGTGTGGCAGTAGCAGTAAAGGTAGCCAACTCCTGCGTGCATCTTAAGCGGTTGACGTGCTGGTGACCGTGCGTTGCGGGAGATAACTGGAACTGGCTTCTTATGATTTCCCATCAGAGACTAGAACATGTTTTGTTTCTAATTTATTTTTCAGGAACAAACAAGGAAAGTAGTAGCTGGTGGAGAACTGTCCTTTTTTTGAAAAAATTCCTAGTACAGCCTTACCCTATGTTGGCACAGTAACTAGTGTGGGTTTCAGTGGGGAGTTAATAGACTAATACTCTCCCGGCGCTCTAAGGATTAAGGTCTTAATGGGCATGTTCAGAGAGTAAATTACTAATCATTGTCTGGAAGAGAAAATATGTAAAAAATATACAGCTGCATTCTGTAGAAATTCAGCTGGAAAACAGAGGTTCTTTGTATTCATTTGTTCTGTTACTTGCTTGTGTGTTTGGGGGTGTTAAACACTGAAACCGGTGGCTACAAAACTGTTGGGTTGAACTTCGAAGATCTGCCATAATTGTGTTTTATTTTAAAGCAGAGACATGATAAGAAGTGTATAAGATGGTGATCCATGACCAGGACTGTTCTAAAGACTGGCATTCTGGGACCGGGACAACGTGGCTTGACAGCTTGAGTCAAAAGCTGCTGAAATTTTTACTGAGAGACCTAGTGGAGCTCATTTAACTTTCAGGTGAAAGAGGCCAGAACCTCTACTCCCCCCTCTGAAAAGGACTGCATGGAGTAAAAGGGTTTTCATCTTCAAAGCGTTACAGAG